TTATATTATATATATTCATTCAAGAAAATCTTATAGGAGCTTCTTTTTATTTTATTTTACTTCAATTGTTGAAGCTTTCTTGATATATAAATTATCTGAAAAGTTTCTTGGTGGTGGATGAAATGGTTGACCAATTATACAACATTCTGGTGCATCTTTAGGTCGATCGTCATGTAAAATTAAGTAAGCTGTTTTAGTCGCACCAACATTAAGAAAATCACAAGAATAATTATTATTTATTGATAAAACATCAGAAAAAAATATTGGAATACATCTTTGATCATAAACTTCTCTCATACATCGGCCTTGACTTGTTGTATCATCATAATAAGTACGACCATGAGTACAAGTATAATTTCCTTTTGGTACTGGAAAATAAGGTGGAATATTAGTAGGATCAGAAATATAATAGAAAATCCATTCAACAGTAAACCAAGGTGCCCAACGATGAATAGGAGCTTGACCACTGGGAACATCATGCATACCTTAAATATGAATACAAAATTATTGCAAAAAAAGCTCTTCTGTTTAAGTTAATCTTTTTATAAACCTGGAAAAATAAATGTTTCATTCGACTGAGGACATATTCCAGATAGAGGTAATGGATTATGTCCACCTTGAGTACATGTAGGACCAATTACTGTTGATTTTTTCTTTGAACGCATATAAGAATATGTATTTACTTCAATAAATAAACTCATCATAATCAGTAAAATAAAATATACATGCATTTTCTTTGTATTTTAAATAATTATTAAAATCTTGAAGAAATCTAAAGAAAATTTTTTTTATATTTAAAATAATAATTCTTATCGAATATTTCTTTGAAATATGCAAAAATATATGTGCATTTAATTTAATTAATCATAGCTAAAAAGTTTTATATTCTCATATGTATATATTTAAAAAAGAAAATTTTCGTTTGACAATTATTAATCTTCTTATTAATAATTAATTTAGTATTAATATAACTAACTTTAAATAAATCTTAAATTGTTGTAAATTCTTACTTTCGAAATAAAATATTTTTCTTATCTTATTAAATCTTTTATTTATACTGAATATAAACATCATTGATAAACAGTGATATTTATTCGTATTCACAAAACTTCTCTCTCTCTCTATTTATTAATAGATATAACGGTTGTATGATGTGTAAGAGAACAAAACTTAGAAGGATACTGATAAGAGATTTTTTGCTGCATCAATAATATGCCAGTAAAAAAAAATTAAATGTGCCACTGATAAAAATATTAATGTTGAAAGTCCAATAGAAGTTGTATTATTGATAACAAAAACGAATGAGATTTAGAATAATTTAACGTCGATATATTCATAATAAATCATTTAATGACTAAAATAATATTTACAATATTTTTTTTCCTACTTTTTATGAAATATTTTCAAAAAAGATCTTCATATTTAAATCAATGATTAAGAAAGTTTTATTTTTACATTCTTAAATAAAAATTCTTAGGGTGTGGGTGTGGGTGTGGCGTCTGTATCTTGCCTTCACGTGTACCCACAGCCACAGCCCCAGCCACGTTTCATATCCACACCCACCCACACCCAACTAAAAACAGGTGTAATCACCGTGTGAATATTTCATATTCTTCCTTAACTGCTCTAGCAAAGAAATAAATCCAAGATTCTCTTTGATTTCTATCCTCTCTCTTGTGCCACTTTCACTTCAACTTTTTCCTATTTCAAACTCATTCCACTACCTTCAAACCAATTACTAAAAGATCATTTACTTGAAAATGAACTAACTTTCGAAGTTGTGTGTCTTGTCTGTGATGATGCAACCAACAGAATGACTCAGAATTCATTTTCTTTCATTTGTCCACTGTAATCGAAGGTTTTTTTTAACTAAGAGTGTTTTTGCGCGCTCTTCAAATTCTGTACAACCATCGTACAAGTTGTGTATATTCGTCTCATTTGTATAGTAGCTGTAAGTTTCGTTTGGTCTTTATTATGACAGAACATTAGCCATAAATTAATATACTGTTCTTTTGCCTTACAGTGTGTACAACTTTTGCTGGGAGTTATTCAATCTAAGTCGAACATTCCAGTTTACAGGGAGCGGGAGTAGTAACTTGTTATCATATAGTTTTTACTGAGTTGCAGGTAAAGGTGTGGATATGCATACTCGAAGGGAATGAGTCCGTGCAGAACTGCCAAATTTGAAGCGATATTACTACCATTTCATGCTAAACTATTTTTATGTGAAAGACGCTTTACGATATTTTGTAGGTTATCATGTATCCTCAATATCAACCTTGATAGTGGCTTTTCATGATTTCAAAGATCGATTCTAAGGTCGTCCGAATTATTTTGCTATCATTTTTCGTACGATCATCTCTTAGAAGTGTTTTGCATAAAACTGTAAATATCATTCTTCTACTTCAGGGTGTGGAGGTGAATGCGCATACAAGAAGCTTCACATCCACATCCTCGAAGTACTTGATATTTCAATTTTATCACCGAAAATAGATAATATAATAAGTATACTTCAGTCATTCTATGTGAAGAAAAATATTAAAGTAAGCATACAGACAATCTTATTATTAATATTTTTGCTTTTTAGAAAAAAAGAACTTCTAAAATTAGAACACTTTTCATTAATCTCGTATCCTCACATAATATTTTATGACAAACTAATTGTTCCACTACTTCATCGAATGTGAAATCTTGAAGAATTAAGATGATTTCTTACAGTATTATGAAATGGCTTAACTTATATTGATGACAATCATTTATATGATGAAATTCTTATTTATATTCCAGAACTAAATAAATTTGCTTTCAGCATAATCATTGAAGTTATTAACACGAATATTAGCATTGATTTTCCATTAAATGA